AGTCTGTAGGCTCTCTCCTCATTCATAACTGAAGGAAATTTCAGGCACAAAAAAAATGTTGATCAATACATTGATCAGTACATTATCATTAAATTTAGGGGCTTTGAGTCATATGTGATTATTTTTGTTTGTAATATGTCAGTTGTCTCCCACTAAGGCAGGATGACCCATGAAAAAAAGAAACACTATCATTCAACACTTTCACCATCATTCACACATAATCACTGTCTTTGCCGATGCACTCAGATACGACAGTTCAGATGTCACTCCAAACAGCCAATTTCCCAAAGCCCTTCTTTAAATTGCACTTATTTCCCATTTCCAGTACTCAAATCCAGTTAACCGGTTTCCTGGAATCCCTTCACAAAATATAACACTGCTTACACTCAAACAGCTCATCAAGTTCCAAAAACCATTTGTCTCCACTCCTATCTAACATGCTTACACGTGCCTGCTGTATGTCCAAGCATACAAAACTTCTTTTACTCTCTCCCTCCATCCTTTTCTAGAACAACCCCTACCTGTTCCTCCCCCTCAACTTCGGATGTATACACCCTCCAAGTCATCCTATTTTGCTCCATCCTCTCTAAATGACCAAACCTCCTCAATAACCCCTCCTTAGCCCTCTGAGTAATACTTTTAGTAACTCCACACCTCCTAATTTCCACATTTCAAATTGTCTGCGTAATAATTACACTACACATTGCCTTTGACACAACATCTCCACTGCCTCCATCCTCCTCCTGGCTGCAGCATTTACAACCCATGCTTCCTACCCACATAAGAGTGTTAGTACCACTATACTTTCACACATTCTCTTCTTTTCCTGTATGGATAATATTCTTTGTCTTCACAGATACCTCAGTGCACCACCCACCCATTTTTCTTCATCAATTCTATAGTTTACCTCGTCTTTCATAAACCCATCTGCTGACAAGTCTACTCCCAAATATCTCTTCCATACACCCTCCCTCCAATATGATATCCAGTTTTTCTTTACGTAACTCGTTTGATACCCTTATCATCTTACTTTCATCTATGTTCACTTTCAACTTTCTTCCTTTACACACACCCCCAAACTCATCCACTACCCTTTACAATTTTTAGTAACTGTGTCAACCCCCATTTTGCATTTGATTCCCCATAATTGAATCCTGTCCCTCTCCCCAACACCCTAGCATTTACTTCTTTTACAACCCCATCTATAAATGTGTTAACCAACCATGGTGACATTACACATACCTGTCTAAGGCCTACTTTTACTGGAAAGTAATCTCCCTCTCTCTCCTACACACTCTAACCTGAGCCTCACTGTCCTCGTAAAATCTTTTTACAGCATTTAGTAACTTACTACCTATTCCATACACTTGCAACATCTGCCACATTGCTCTCCTATCCACCGTATCATATGCCTTTTCTAAATCCATAAATGCAATGAAAACTTCCCTACCTTTATATATTATTCACATATATGCTTCTATGTAAACACTTGATCTACACATCCCCTACCCATTCTAAAGCCTCATTGCTCTTCTGTGATCCTGTTCTCTGTCTTGCCTCTAATTCATTCAGTAATAACCCTACCATACACTTTACCTGGTATACTCAGTAAACTTTTTCCTCTACAATTTTTACATCCTCTTTTGTCCCTCTTCCCTTTATATAAAGTAACTATACATGCTTTCTGCCAATCCCTAGGTACCTTCCCCTCTTTCATGCATTGAACAAAAGTACCAACCACTCCAAAACTATATCCCCCTTCTTTTAACATTTCTGTCATGATCCCATCAGTTCCAGCTGCTTTACCCCCTTTCATTCTATGTAATGCCTCATGCACCTCCCCCACACCCACATCCAGCTCTTCTTTACTCCTAAATGATATTATACCTCCCTGGCCAATGCATGATATTACTGCCTCCCTCTCTTCATCAACATTTAATGGTCCCTCAAAATATTCCTTTCATCTTCAAAATACCTTCTAATTCCCCTCTACTAACTCCCCAATTCTGTTTTTAACCCGTAAACAGTTCAAGCAGATCTACGTTCACATGTGTAGTGCTACAAGAGCAGATCTAATTTTTTTTTACATATTTTCAAATATAACAAAAAAAAAAGTAGATCAAAGTTTTTTACACATTTTCAAATGTAGAAAAATAGAAAGAAGATCTACTTTTTTTACATACTTTCAAATGTTGAAAAAAACACATATATACATTTGGACTGTTTACGGGTTAATTGTCAAATCAGTTTGTTCCCTAGGCTTTCTTAACCCATTTATCTCACTTCAAAAATTTTTCTTATTCTCAGCAAAATTTGTTGACAGTGCCTCACCCACTCTTAGCCTTTGTACTCTCTCACCACTCTTTTCACCTTTCTTTTACTCTCCAGATACTCCTCCCTTCATATATCGCATGTGCTTTGTAAAAACATTTCATAAGCAACCTTTTTCTCTTTTATCACACCCTTTACTTCATCTTCCACCAATCACTCGTTTTTCCTCCAGCACCCACCCTCCTATAGCCACAAACTACTGCTCTACATGCTAATGCCACATTTTTAAAACTATTCCACCTCTCTTCAACCTCTGCATTACCTATACAGTGGACCCTCAGTTAGCGGCATTAATCCGTTCCAGAAGGCTTGCCTTAACCGATTTTGACGTTATCCGAATTAATTTTCCTCATAAGAAATAATGGAAATCCAATTAATCCGTTTCAGACCGCCAAAAGTATTAAGAAAAAATATTTTTATAAAGATTAAATATAGATATACATACAGAAAACAATGACAAATAAATATAAAGCACTAATAAAATGGATAAATGAACATTTAACATCACACTTACCTTTACTGACTCTTGTTGGTGTATGGAAGAGAGGTAGGAGGCAAGAGGGAGATGAGTTTATCATGCTTCAATATGACGCTAATATCATCTCTACAGCTTATTTATCTATCACAATTCATCTAAAATGACATAATAAACACTATTAATAACATAGAAACATGATATATACTCTAAAATGAATAAAATATGTCATAATGTGTGTGAAGAGTAAGTGGTGGAAGTGTTGTTGTTGGGTTCATAAGGGCCACTGAGAGAAGCTGTGCATAGACCATGGTGGTGGTGGCGAGGCAGCAGCAGAACTCACCACCACTATTCACATGTAATGTACGTAATTTATAAATAAGAAGTATTTACATTTTAATTTATAAATAAGTAAGTTTATTCAGGTATACACAAATACAGTTATGTACATAGATTATCATACATACCAGCATATGTGTAAAGTACTTAGGATAACCCAAAAGAGTCAGAGTGACTTACGTATTTCCATTGGGGTCCTTTTATATTTACACTTATATTTACTTTTATACCTACACTTTATATTTACACTTACCTTGGAGGAGATGTTAGTTTAATTAGTTTGATGGAGGAGATGCTGGCAGAGGTTTGGGGTGGTGGAAGATATGTAGCAGGGCGGCTTACGTTCAGCGGCCCCATTCAGATACAACGGCCCTATACGCATCCAACAATATTGGAGAGTTACTTTCGTGTTGTTTTTCTATCGCTTACTCGGTTAACTTACTTACTACATTGTTAATTCTACACTTTATCACTGTTTATCGATACCTACTGCTTTAGTATCGTACATATCGTAGAATCACTGAATCACTCCAGAAGGCATATTCTCCCCTCTCTTCCTCCTCCACTTTGGTACTTTGCTACGGATTTTTTCTTGAATTCTATTGTGCTTCTTTCCTTCTTTACCACAGGGCTGCCACTAGAAGCTTTCTTTGGGCCCTTGGTGGCATATTTAGCAGTTACAAGCACTAAAAACAATGGAATAACACAAAATATATCGCATGTATGCGTGGAATCATCCTCACTGCCTTGTAAACAATGGCACACTGTATGTGGAGTGGATGGGTGGCCACAGCTCAGGCTGTGAGAACACGTTCGGGACAAGTGCCCTGAAACCGTGTTCTTAGGCGTTAGCTGAGCCAATATTTTGACGCAAAAACGTGCCGCTAACCGATTTTGCCATTGGCCGATGCCGCCGTTAACTGAGGGTCCACTTTACTCTCACTACCTCACCTTTCTGCCAATATTTGCTTATATCTCACCCTAACTTCCTCCTCCATTAGTTTATGAACTTTCACATTTCTCTTGTTGTTGCCATTTTCTTTTTGCCCCATCTACCTCTTACTCTAACTGTAGCTAGAACTAAAAATGATTCGTTATATCTGTTGCCCCTCTGTAAGCGTACACATCCTGAAGTCTACCCATCAGTCTTTTATCTACCAATACATAATGTAAAAAACTACTTTCATTACGTGTTATATCATATCTTGTATACTTCCTCTCCTCATTTGGCGATGTACTCGTTTACTGATGACTCAGACTTACAACGGATTCTCTGACCAGTATGCATACTGAAATAATGTGTGTTAGAGCTGATTTCCTCTGTTTTGGTTATTGCAATGTGCTGTATAAACATTTAAAAATATTATAAAAATGTTATTAAAACCGTATCGAAGATGGTTGACACAAACCCACTACTATTATAGTATGCTCCTTGTTTAGTGCCGAATTCGTTTACCGACGTGGTCTGAGGAACAGAACTCTGTTACTAAATGAGGAGAGGCTGTACTTTTTTATCCTCTTTTTCTTAAAATATGTATTACTTATTATCAAACCTCTTTCTGTACATATTTCAATTGAAGCCTCTCCCCCCCCCATTATCATTTACACCTGGCACCCCAAACTTACCTACCACACCCTCTCTAAATGTTTCTCCTACTTCAGCATTTAGGTCCCCCACCACAGGTACTCTCTCAGTTGGTTCATCAACCCCCATGCACTCACTCAACATCTCCCAAATTCTCTCTCTCTCTCTCTCTCTCTCTCTCTCTCTTATACACTTCTCTCTTCTCCAGGTGCTTAAATACTTACTATAACCCACTTTTCACATCCAGTTATTATTTTTATATCATTGCAGATGTCATGTGAGTGGAACTGCAAGCATCAGAAGTGTGATAAACTTTGTGGTGACAAGTGTTCAAGAAAGCCATGTGATCATCCTTGTCCTAAGAAGTTGAAGTGTGGTCATCCATGTGTTGGCTTCTGTGGTGATCCTTGTCCTCCACTGTGTCGCATCTGTAATTTTGATGAACTCACGGAGTTCATGTTGTTGGGCTTTGAAGATGATGACGATTCAAGGTAAGAAAGAAGTTACTTCAGTATTGATTATACATTCTTAGAAGATAAATTATTATTAACACATCAACCGTTTCCCACCAAGGCAGGGTGGCCCGAAAAGAAAAAACTTTCATCATCATTCATTCCATCGATGTCTTGCCAGAAGTGTGCTTACACTACAGTTATAAAGCTGCAGTATTAACCCATTAACTGTCCTAACATAGATTTACGTTCTCAGTGCCATCACTCTGAATACAGTGGACCCCCGCATAATGATATTAATCCGTTCATGAGAGCTCATTGTTATGCGAAATTATCGTTATGCGAATGAATTTTCCCCATAAGAAATAATGGAAATCAAATTAATCCGTGCAAGACACCCAAAAGTATGAAAAAAAAATTTTACCACATGAAATATACATTTTCCTACACACAAAGAGAAGGATACATGCACAATAGTAGAGTAGTACATGCACAGTATATATTGTGCATACACTACTCTACTAAATGAAGAATAAATGACACTTACCTTTATTGAAGATGCAGCAATGACTGATGAGACACTGTGTCCTGGGAGTGCCTTTTCCTCCTGAGTACTGTAGGTCCTGTTTGGCATTTTCTTCCAGAACAGGCCTTATCACACTGTGTATGTCACTACGATTCTTAAATCTCTCAAACCAACCTTTGCTGGCTTTAAATTCACCAATATGAGCACTAGTTCCAGGCATTTTTCCTTGTTCATCTGGGTGTTAGTCGACTGGTGTGGGGTGCATAATAAACATATTAAACTTAAACTAACAGTAAAATAGAATTATGAGAAATGAAGAACATATGAGTAAAGTATGGTTATGTTCCAGAGATCTGTTATTTGTTAATTTTATCCTTGTTTTTCAAACTAAACAAATCTTCGTTTTTGAATTACTGTATAAAATATGCAATATTGTGAAGACTCAAAGAATGCATAGCATTTCAGGTAAAACGTAGCGTATATTATATTTAAATTTTACATAGTTTTATTTTTTATTTTTGTGGGTCCTAATACATGGTATTAATTGCAACTTAAAAATATATATGGTGGTACCCCGGGTTTCGGCCATAATTCGTTCCAGAAGGCTCTTCGAGTGCCGTTACTGAATGAATTTGTTCCCATAAGGAATAATGTAAATTAGATTAGTCCGTTGCAGACCCCCAAAAATACACTTACAAAAGCACTTACAATAATACACTTCCATAATTGTTCAGGTTGTACAGTGGTAACTTGTACCACTGTACAAGTTACCACTTAATTCAGAAAATAAAAAAAATGTTAGTGTCTAGTTCTACCAGAGTGAGTCGTATTAGTTAATTAAATTACAGTACAAAATGTAATGACATACATACAAGTTCACTGAGAATTATTTCTCCATCCATGGGGATAGGAAGTAAAGACAAAGAAGAAGAACTATGTATGAAAGAAGGGATCACAACATATTTTACTGTATATGGGAGCAGAAAGAAGTTGAAACAAGAAGTACACAGAGGGAATTGGATGACAACAGACAGGTTTCTGAATTTGTTTGATATTGTGTTTTGTTGTCAAGAATCATATTAAGATAAGGCAGTTTCTTACAGTAGCTTTGAAGCAGTTAGCATAGTGAATCTCTGGAATCTTCAGATAGTCTTCCAGATTTTAGGACCATGTATGCACATAGAGTTTTTACTCAGGTTGAGTTGAACACAGGGAGTATCAGAGATTTTTGTGTTTTATATTAAACCTATAGGCTGTGTTGCAGCTATCCAGGAAGAGTTTCAGAAAAGGTTTTTATTGTGTGCATTGTATATAAACTCAGTTGCCACTTTAGTAGGCACACCGGCTCATTAATGCAAATATCTAATCAATTGGTGACATGGCAGCACCTCAGTGCTTAAACACATTTGGACATGGTCAAGAGGTTCAGCTGTTGTTCAGACCAAACATCAGAATGGGAAAGAAATGTGATCTAAGTGGCTTTGACCGTGGAATGATTGTTAGTGCCAGACTGACGCGGTGGTTCAAGTGTCTCAGAAACTGCAGATTTCCTGGGATTTTCATGCACAACAGTCTCTAGAGTTTACAGAGAATGGTGTGAAAAACACTAAACATTCAGTGACAAAAGTGAGAATAAACAGTCAGGAAGGTGACAGTATCTCAAATAACCATGCATTACAACAGTGGTATGCTGAAGAGAATCTCTAAATGCATAGTATGTTGAACCTTCTAGTGGATGGGCTATAGCAGCAGAAGACCAAACTGGATTCCACTCCTGTCAGTTTAAAACAGGAAACTGAGGCTACAGTGGGCACAGTCTGACCAATACCTGACAGTTGAAAATTGGTAAAATCATGGTCCAGTCTGATGAATCATGGTTTCTGTGGTTAGATAAGTGGTTGCTTAATTGAGGTATAGACTAGGGGGATAGAGGCTATGGACTTCATTCAAGAGAAGGATCTAGGGGTAAGCACAGTGCCCAGTATATCACCAGAGGCTCACATTAACTGAATAACCTCTGCAGCCAGTGCTCATGTGGTAAGTCTAAGGAATCTCAAACATCTTTCTTGACCTTTTATATACCACAATAGGTGCAGCTTTGAGTATGCAGCACCAGTATGGAACTCACACCTGACAAAACATATTAAGCATATGGAGACAACACAGAAGCATGCATCAAGGCATGCCCCTGAGTTAAGAGGCATGAGCTACTAGGAGAAGCTAATGGAACTGAATCTTAACATTGGAGGACAGAAGAACTGGGGGACATGATAACTACATACAAAATATTCAGGGAATTATTAAGATAGACAGGGACAGGCTGTTTGAGAGGCAAGAAATGGGAACTTGGGGACACAGCTGGAACTTAAAAGACAGCAGTGAGCCACAGGGTGGTTGGGAAGTATAATGTTCTTGGTGAGGAAGTGGTGAAGGTAGACTCTATACATAGTTTTAAGAGCAGGTATGATAGGGCTCACAAGTCAGTGAGGGAGTGAATTTGAAGGGTGGCAAGTTAAGGGCCAAGAGCTGAAAATCAACCTCTGTAATCATAAGTAGGTTCCAAACTGGTGCTGCGCACTCCAGTATGGGCCTGACGTACACAGTGTATAAAGTCTTGAACAATTCCTTACTGAGGTACCGAAATGCTATTCTCAGGTTTGCCAGGTGCCCATATGCCGCAGCAGTTACCTGGTTAATGTGTGCTTCTGGCAGTGTACAGTAGGGCCCCACTTATATGGCGGGTTAGGTTCCAAGCTGTCGCTGGAAAGCAGACATCGCCGGAAGGCAGAACGTCATTTTTTTTCCATTTATAAATGCATATAAATGTCAGACAACAAGTTTACACTAAATTATATGAAGTTAGTAATAGAATTAGGCATTAAAAACACACAAAGTAAAATACATTCACAGTAAATTCATTACTTATCTTAAAGTGTATTTGTAATCTTAATGTAGGGAGAGAGGTGAGTAGTACTTATTTGTAGGAAGCCAGGTGCAGGTAGCCCAGGTGTAGGTAGCCCTGGCTCCCCGTCTCATACTTAATATACGATATTTAAAACATACACAAATTACTACTACTACTACTACTTATGATGAAATTAAGACACATGTGCGGCGTCTGGGTGCCTTTGTTGTGGACGTTTCGCCATCCAGTGGCTGGCAAAACATGTATGAGGAAGGTAGTGATCAAGCACATGTATGAGGAAGGTAGTGATCAAGGACATGTATGAGGAAGGTAGTGATCAGGTACATGTATGAGGAAGGTAGTGATCAAGGTACATGTATGAGGGAAAGGTTAGTGATCAGGTACATGTATGAGGAAGGTAGTGATCAAGTACATGTATGAGGAAGGTAGTGATCAGGTACATGTATGAGGAAGGTAGTGATCAAGTACATGTATGAGGAAGGTAGTGATCAAATACATGTATGAGGAAGGTAGTGATCAAGTACATGTATGAGGAAGGTAGTGATCAAGTACATGTATGAGGAAGGTAGTGATCAAGTACATGTATGAGGAAGGTAGTGATCAAGTACATGTATGAGGAAGGTAGTGATCAAGTACATGTATGAGGAAGGTAGCTGGTCTTAGTTATGATGACCAGCTGCAGGAGCTTTCCGTCATCTGACAGAGGCCTTCCGCTGGCTTACCAGTCCACCCTTTTAAAAATTATGCTTATGATTGTAACCATTTAATCCCTACTGCTGCTTATGTACCTACTTTTATTCAGTTTTAGGTTCATTTTCTTTAGAAAGTTTGTAATGGACTCATTACATTCCTGGTAAAGGTAGTGACTCTGTGCCTGTGGTAGTTTGTAAGGAATGTTCACTTCACAGGATCTTTTACAGTCTCAGATGTTCACATGTTGGAAGTTGTCTAAGCTGCACACTGATAGCCCATTAATGAAATTATATTTTTTTTCTAAGGATGTGGTTTAATTATTTTCTTTACCATTCATTTCAAGGTTGTTTATACATCCTGCTTTTTAAAATTACTGTGATTACTATGATTTAGGAAAAATAGCTTAAAGGTATATTAATGTTTTTAATGCTCTTCAGAACCAGAAGTTACTGTTAGCTAAAATATATAGCAAATATTTAGATAAAACCACTCCACTGCTACACTTAATTTAATATCTTTATTGTGCACCTCTGTAGCAATGCTGTGGGTGGTAGCCAAGTGTTGACAGAGGAATATAATGCATCCAAGAAGTGGAGTGGAAATTACATCTCTAAGATTTAAGAAATTCATTTGATAAAAATACATATTTTCAGGTTTGTGTTGTTGGAAGACTGTGGTCACAGTATTGAGGTGCAGGGCCTGGAGGGCTGGCTCACTCAGGACAACAATGAAATTGGAATGAAGACTTGTCCAAAATGCAGGAAGCCCATGTACAACAATCGTCGCTATCAGGACATAATACTTAAGACTTATGAAACAGTGAAAGCTGTCAAGAACAAATATTATCAATCTCAGTCAAAAATAAAAAGGAAGGATATTGAATTGATCTTGCAAGGTAAGATTTTAAATTGACAGTACTGTACAGTGCCTGCAAAAAATGATCAGATACTGCAAAATAAGTCAAAGAATTTCAACATGTTGTCATTTTCTGTTACACGAGACACCATGGTGAGTGGTGCCGAGGTTGAGCATTCTTCAGGTGGCTCACAAGTTGCTGTAAGAGGCTGCATTTTCATGCATGCTTGACCTCCATTATGACTTTCCCGTTAGATTGCTTGATAGTTTATATTTTGGTTACTAGTTATTGTAGCGGGACCCTGTAAGCTTAGTATGGACAAGATAGCCTGACAAGAGGAGGACATTGGGTCACAGTTGACAATGTTTATTCTATGAGTCTCTCATACTATACATTCAAGAATTAAACAGGTAGAGGTAAAGGTGGAATGATGCAACATTAGGTTACATGAATAATGTGTCATCGGTTCTTTGTTTCACTTCCCTCTTTCTAATATTTTGTATGTAAAATGATGTCAAATGGTAGAATGTCAATGATTTCTGTTATTATTATTATTATTTTTTTTTATTATCACACTGGCCGATTCCCACCAAGGCAGGGTGGCCCGAAAAAGAAAAACTTTCACCATCATTCACTCCATCACTGTCTTGCCAGAAGGGTGCTTTACACTACAGTTTTTAAACTGCAACATTTACACCCCTTCAGAGTGCAGGCACTGTACTTCCCATCTCCAGGACTCGAGTCCGGCCTGCCGGTTTCCCTGAACCCCTTCATAAATGTTACTTTGCTCACACTCCAACAGCACGTCAAGTATTAAAAACCATTTGTCTCCATTCACTCCTATCAAACACGCTCACGCATGCCTGCTGGAAGTCCAAGCCCCTCGCACACAAAACCTCCTTTACCCCCTCCCTCCAACCTTTCCTAGGCCGACCCCTACCCCGCCTTTCTTCCACTACAGACTGATACACTTTTGAAGTCATTCTGTTTCGCTCCATTCTCTCTACATGTCCGAACCACCTCAACAACCCTTCCTCAGCCCTCTGGACAACAGTTTTGGTAATCCTGCACCTCCTCCTAACTTCCAAACTACGAATTCTCTGCATTATATTCACACCACACATTGCCCTCAGACATGACATCTCCACTGCCTCCAGCCTTCTCCTCGCTGCAACATTCATCACCCATGCTTCACACCCATATAAGAGCGTTGGTAAAACTATACTCTCATACATTCCCCTCTTTGCCTCCAAGGACAAAGTTCTTTGTCTCCACAGACTCCTAAGTGCACCACTCACTCTTTTTCCCTCATCAATTCTATGATTCACTCATCTTTCATAGACCCATCCGCTGACACGTCCACTCCCAAATATCTGAATACGTTCACCTCCTCCATACTCTCTCCCTCCAATCTGATATCCAATCTTTCATCACCTAATCTTCTTGTTATCCTCATAACCTTACTCTTTCCTGTATTCACTTTAAATTTTCTTCTTTTGCATACCCTACCAAATTCATCCACCAACCTCTGCAACTTCTCTTCAGAATCTCCCAAGAGCACAGTGTCATCAGCAAAGAGCAACTGTGACAACTCCCACTTTATGTGTGATTCTTTATCTTTTAACTCCACGCCTCTTGCCAAGACCCTCGCATTCACTTCTCTTACAACCCCATCTATAAATATATTAAACAACCATGGTGACATCACACATCCTTGTCTAAGGCCTACTTTTACTGGGAAATAATTTCCCTCTTTCCTACATACTCTAACTTGAGCCTCACTATCCTCGTAAAAACTCTTCACTGCTTTCAGTAACCTACCTCCTGATTTCTGTTGCATTGATAATTTCTTTTGCAGTCACTTACTGTATGAGTTTTTTTAAATCCTCTTCATAGTATCACAACATTGCTCTAGAAATAAGAAAACATGACTGATAAATTTTTGTAAATTGCTAAGGACTCTTCTTCATCGTCATGAGGGAAAAAACAGGTCAGATTTAAAAAAAACTTTCATCTTGCCACCTGAGACCTAAAGCTTTGGGGACATTATGTTCTGTTCGATTGTGCGCAAGGTAAAATTTATGAAGGGATTCAGAGAAACCTGTCAGCCAGACTTGAGTCCTGGAGGTGGGGGGTACAGTGCCTGCACCCTGAAGAAGGTGTGAGAATGTTTGCAGTCTGGAGAGACATCCAAACTGCAGTATCAGCACGCCTCCAGCTAGACAATGATAGAGTGAATGATGAAAGTTTTTCTTCTTTTTCAGGTCACCCTACTTTGGTGGGAGATGGCTCATGTGTTAAAAAATAATAATATTTACTTTTAGAGTAGCTTTTTTCATGTCTAGTTATAGTCAGGTGAAGCAAGAGTTGTCTGAGCAATTCTTATAGTGAATCATAGAACAGGTGAGGAGAAAAGTATGTGTAGTATTGAAGTAATGGAAAGAAGAGGTTTATCTATGATGGAGTCATAGAGGGTATGTACCAGAGTATAGTGATACTAACACTTGTATATGGACCAGCAATACTGGAGATATCTTTGAAACCAATTTCTTGTTTGAATATTATGTATAGAATATTATATATATAATCTATATTATGTATAGAATATTATATCTAGAATATTATATATAGAAGGTGTGGAGAGGGTAGAGGACGGGTTCTTAAGGAGGTTTGATCATTTAGAAATGATGAAATATCGCATAACCAAAAGGATACAATGGAACCTTGGCTTACAAGTTTAATTCATTCCATGACCTTGCTCACATCCTGATTTGCTTGTCTGTTGAGTCAATTTTCCTCATTTAAATTAATTGAAATGGCAATAATCTGTTCCAGCGGAATTCCAGGCATGGCAAAATACTTCAGTATTTCACTAATATCAACTCTATGGCTTATTTATCTCTCAAAATTCGTCTAATATGACATAATAAACAATATTAATAACATAGAAACATGATATATACACAAGAATGAATGAAATGTATCATTATGTATGTGGCTGGTGGTAGTGGGGATGGCGGCCATTGTTGTTGTTGGGGTGTATAAGGCCACCACAGCGGCCATTTCTGCTCCTGACTGTGAGATATGAGGTAGCTGACCAGAGCTTTGGTAAGATGGGGAAGGAAGAAGGATGGGAAAGGATGGAAATATCGGAAAGGGTTGGGATGGTTGAGGAGGAGGGAAGATAAAGGTAAGTGCCCTGTCCACCTTGGTCAATTTGTGCAGGTGTACTGCAGGCGTTGCTGTCAACATGTGAGGATTGTTGGAATCAGCGGTGGGCAGCTGACAATGTGCGTGAGGTTGTACGGCAGGAGGCAGGCAGGAGGCGGCAGAAAGGGCCGAGAAGACAGCTATATTAGGGTCAATTGGAGTCACACCCCAGCTTTAGCCAATAGCAAAGTGCTGGGGAACTCAGCTTCACAATGATTGGTTGGTTGGAAGTTTGTTATATGGGTGGAGGTGAGCCATTCAGTAGAGATTTGAACTTCTTTCTTGAGAGGTATTCTACTTCATATGGGTTTATGGTGCTTGTTTGAGGAGTGTTGATGTTTTGGAGTATTGCTTCGATGGTGGTGGTGAACCCAGGAATGAGGGTGAACTTGACAGTTACGTCCTTGAGTCTCTGGGAGAGTTCATGGCCAAGCATTGCGTCTTTGTATTGGTCAGTGGTGAAGAACCAGGTATAAGGTGTATCAATGTATAACAGTTCCTCCTCAGGGGCTGGAGTAGCCACAGGAGGGCTGGCAGTAGTAGTAGTGGGTAGGGTGTTTGCTTGGGCCAAAGCAGTGTAAGTTATAGCACCGGGTTGTGGTGGAGTAAGTTTCTTGGTTGGCGGTGGCTGTGTTGTGACGGGCGAGGTCGCTGATTGGTCGGTTGCGAGGGTGGGATATGGTGGCACTCTCTCATTGGTGGGAATAGGCGGTGCCATGGTAAGTGGTAGTGGTGGTGGAGGTGTGGAAATATTGACAATACTGGTAGTGGATTGAATGATGTCTGATGAAGATGGAGATTCAAGGAATGTAAAGCTGGGCATATTGTTGGGCTTGAAGAGTTCATTGATGGTGGTGTTGAATGATCCAGGTGCGGCTACATTATGTACATGGGCATACATGATGCAGTATAGAATTTTGGTGGAATTGCCAGCAGGAATCATTGGTGATGTAGTACTAGTGGAAGATGCAGTTTGAGTGACTTTGAGAATCTTGGTGGTATCTGCTTGGAGCTTGGTCATAGCATATGTTGTAGACTGAGTAGTGGTTTTCTTCTGGTGTTCAAGTTGTTTCTTGAGTACTTCTCGCCTGGTAGGGCATTTGGCAGCAAAGGTATGCAGGTCAGGCATTTAGGTGGAGTGGTGATGGTGCAAGTCTTGAAATTGTGTCCTTCGTTGCCGCATACTTTAATATGGGCCTGACGTACGCACTGTAAAGAGTCTTCAACAATTTCTTACTAAAGTATCAGAATGTGATTCTCAGGTTTGCCAGGTGCCCATATGCTGCAGTAGTTATCTGGTTGATGTGTGCCTCGAGATGTGCTCTGTATTATACTCAGCCCAAGATCATCATCCTTGAGTGAGGTTTGCAATCTTTGGACACCTAGCATATACTCTGTCTGCAGTCTTCTTTGGTCTTCCCTGATCTTCATGACTTTGCATTAGGCGGGGTTAAATTCAAGGAGCCAGTTGCTGCAACAGGCTTCCAGTTCATCCAGGTGTCTTTGTAGCCCTACATGATCCTCATCCAATTTATTTCCCCTCATTATCTTCACATTATATGCAAACAGGGACACTTCTGAGTCTATCCCTTCTGTTATGTCATTCACATATGCTAAAAGTAGCACTGATCCTAGGACTGACCCCTGTGGAACCCCACTCGTCACAGGTGCTCACTCTTGACACCTTATCACATACCATGACTTGTTGCCTCCCTGTCAGGTATTCTCTGATCCGTTGCAGTGCCCTTTCTGATATGCGTGCCTGATCCTCTAGCTTTTGCGCTAATCTCTTGTGAGGAACTGTGTCGAAGGCCTTGTTGTAGTCCAAGAAAATGCAGTCTTCCCACCCTTTTCTCTCGTGTCTTACTTCCATTACCTTGTCATAAAACTCTAGGAGGTTTGTGACGCAGAATTTTCCTTCCCTGAATCTGTGCTGGTTGTCATTTATAAGCTTGTTTCATTCTAGGTGCTCCATCACTCTCCTCCTGATAATCTTCTCCATGACTTTGCATACTGTACATGTCAGTGATACTGGTCTGTAGTTTAGTGCCTCGTGTCTGTCTCCTTTCTTAAAAATAGGGTCTACATTTGCTGTCTTCCATACCTTAGGTAGTTGCCTAGTTTCAGTGGATGTGTTGAAAATTTTTAGTGGCACACAGTGTCTTTGCTCCGTCTCTAAGGACCCATGGAGAGATGTCCTTTGAGGTATAGGGTCACTTAGCAGCCTGTTCACCTTCTCCTTCTCCTTGGTTGTATGTATTTCATCCAGCACTTCTTGGTATATTCCTTGTTGATGTACCCCCCCCCCCTGTATTCTGACTTCCCTGAGTCCTTTCTGTCTCCGCTGTAAATACTTCCTTAAATCTCATTTTGAGCTCCTCATATACTTCTTGGTCATTTCTTGTGAGCTCCCCACCTATCTTCAGTCTGATTACCTGATCCTTGACTGTTGTTTTCCTCCTGATGTGGCTATACGACAGCTTTGGGTCAGACTTGACTTTTGATGCTATGTCATGTTTTGTATTGTCGCTGGGCCCCCCTCCTTATCTGTGCATACTCGTTTCAGGCTCTTCGACAGATCTCTTTTATTTTCCTGGGTCTTTTGCCTTCTGTACTTTTTCCATTCTTCAGCGCACTTAGTTTTTGCCTTCCTACACCTTTGGATAAACCAAGAGCTCATTCTGGTCTTCCCATTACGTATTTCTGTTGCCCTTGGGAACAAACCTTTTCTGTGCCTCCTTGCATTTCGTTGTCACGTCCATCATTTTGTTTACTGATTTTCCTACCAATTCTCTTTCCCATTGAACCTCCTCCAGGAAGTTCCTCATGCCTGTGTAGTCCCCTCTTTTGTAATTTGGATTTTCCCGTCCTACTCCTGTTATCCTCTCCACTTGTAACTACTATGTATTTGAAGCTCAGAACCACGTGATCACTAGCATCGAGGGGCCTTTCATATGTGATGTCCTCAATGTCCGAGCCACTCAGGGTGAAGACGAGGTCCAGTCTTGCTTGTTCATCCTCTCTTTTCTCTCTCTCTGTCTCTGGTAGTGTCCCTAACATGTTGATGCATGAGATTTTTCAGTACCACATCCATCATCTTGGCTCTCCATGTGTGTACTCACCTATTTATGGTTGCAGGGGTCAAGACATAGCTCCTGGCCCTGCCTCTTCACTGATCACTACTAGGTCTCTCCTTGCTCCTTGAGCTTTATCATACCTTGTCTTAAAACTATGTATGGTTCCTTCCTCCACAACATCACTTGGCAGACTGTTCCACTTCCTGACAACTCTATGACTAAAGAAATACTTCCTAACATCTTTGGCTCATCTGAGTCTTTGCCTTTCAATTGTGACCCCTTGTTTCTGTGTCCCATCTCTGGAACATCCTGTCTCTGTCCACCTTGTACTCACCTATTTGTGGTTGCAGGGGTCGAGTCATAGCTCCTGGCCCTGCCTCTTCACTGATGGCTACTGGGTCCTCTCTCTCCCTGCTCCATGAGTTTTATCAAACCTCGTCTTAAAACTATGTATGGTTCCCGCCTCCACTACGTCACTTTCTAGGCTGTTCCACTGCCTGACAACTCTAAGACTGAAGAAATACTTCCTAACATCCCTTTGACTCATCTGAGTCTTCAGCTTCCAATTGTGACCCCTTGTTTCTGTGTCCCATCTCTGGAACATCCTGTCTTTATCCACCTTGTCTATTCTGCGCAGTATTTTATATGTCGTTATCATGTCTCCCCGACCCTCCTGTCCTCCATTGTTGTCAGGCCAATTTCCCTTAACCTTTCTTCGTAGGACAATCCCCTTAGCTCTGGGACTAGTCTTGTTGCAAACTTTTGCACTTTCTCTAATTTCTTGACATGCTTGACCAGGTGTGGATTCCAAACTGGTGCTGCATACTCCAGTATGGGCCTGATGTAAATGGTGTACAGAGAATTGAGCGATTCCTTACTGAGGTATCGGAACACTATCCTTAGGTTTGCCAGACACCCATACGCTGCAGCAGTTATCTGATTGATGTGCGCCTCAGGAGATGTGCTTGGTGTTATACTCACCCCAAGGTCTTTTTCCTTGAGTGAGGTTTGCAGTCTTTGGTCACCTATACTATACTGTGTCTGCGGTCTTCTTTGCCCTTCCCTGATCTTCATGACTTTGCATTTGGCAGGGTTAAATTCAAGGAACCAGTCACTGGACCAGGCTTGTAGCCTGTCCAGGTCACTTTGTAGTCCTGCCTGATCTCCAACCGATTTAATTCTCATTAACTTCACATCATCTGCAAACAAGGACACTTCTGAGTCTATCCCTTCCATTATGTCATTCACATATACCAAAAACAGCACAGGTCCTAGGACTGACCCCTGTGGAACCCCGCTTGTCACAGGCGCCCACTTTGACACCTTGTCACGTACCATGACTCATTGTTGCATCCCTGTCAGGTATTCTCTGATCCATTGTAGTGCCTTTCCTGTTATGTGTTCCTGATCCTCTAACTTTTGCAGTAACCTCTTGTGAGGAATTGTGTCGAAGGCCTTCTTGCAGTTCAAGAAAATGCAGTATATCCACCCCTCTCTCTCTTGTCTTACTTCTGTCACCTTGTCATAAAACTCCAATAGGTCTGTGACACAGGATTTTCCTTCCCTGATACCGTGCTGGTTGTCGATTATACACTTGTTTCTTTCCAAGTGCTCCACCACTCTCCTTCTGATGGACTTTGCATACTATACATGTTAGTGACACAGGTCTGTAGTTTAATGCCTTGTGTCTGTCTCCTTTTTTAAAAATTGGGACTACGTTTGCCATCTTCCATACCTCAAGGAGTTGCCCAGTTTCATTGGATGTGTTGAAGATCTTTGTTAGTGGCACACACAGCATCTCTGCTCCCTCTCTAAGGACCCACGGAGAGATGTTGTCTGGTCCCACGACCTTGAGGTATCAAGTTCACATAACAGCTTCTTCACCTCCTCCTCGGTTATGTGTACCTCATACAGCACTTGTTGGTGTACCTCCCTGTTCTGATTTCCACCAGTTTCCACTGCAAATACTTCTTTAAATCACGTGTTGAGCTCCTCGCATACCTCTTGGTTGTGTGTGTGTGTGTGTGTGTGTGTGTGTGTGTGTGTGTGTGTGTGTGTGTGTGTGTGTGTGTGTGTGTGTGTGTGTGTTTGTGTGTGGCGGGGGAGGGAGGTATATTTGCTTCATCACAGTGAGTGCAGACAAGTGGTTTTTATGAGTTGATGTTATGTTTTTTTTTGTGAGTCATTCTACACTGGTGGTAGATGGCCAGTGTTTTTAAAAAAAATTATATAAATGGAGATGTTACGCAGTACATTTGGTTGTGGTAAATACTATATATCATGTATCGCATCCACAGATCCTGAAATTGCTGTGCACTTCATGTCTCGGGTGAAGCAGCTACAACAGAAGCTTGGTATTGGTCGAGTAATGAAGCGTCACAAGCAAGTCTTTGTCAGTGAAGGAGAGCTGAGACTTATCCAGTTTCAAGCCCAAGTGCTTAAAAAGGCAACCAGCATTCTGATGTCTTTGGCTGAAAAAACAAATACATCTTCAGGAGTAGACTATTTTCTTGGTAGAATTCATGGAGTGTGTAAGTTGTCTAAGAATGAAACTCGTTTACGACCCAGAGTGGAAGCTATTGTTGAACTTGTTATGCAAAAAAATACCATCATTGCCCCTCAAATGGTTGAAGAAGTGAGCTGTGAACTGCAGCGTCTAATGATTCTTCCTGCTTACTGGAATTTTCAAGAAAAATTTCTGACCAGCAGCAATGAAAGTGTCAGAGTAATCAAGGCACAGTTGGATAAATTAATGGATCCTGCAGTAAAATTTGATTCAATACTGGACACAAAAGTTTGTGCTCTTCTTAAAGAAAGTGAGAAGCACTATGGTGGCTTAGGAATCAGTCAAAGTGAGAAGATTATGATTTTGACAACTATGGGACTGAGACAAGGACACTGGTACAAGTGTCCTCAAGGACATATATATTGCATCACTGAGTGTGGAGGAGCCATGGAGGAAGGCACATGTCCTGACTGTGGTTCAAAGATTGGAGGTTCATCCCACCGGTTAAGGAGTGATAACACTGTGGCGGGAGAGATGGATGGTGCTAGACATGCAGCCTGGTCTGAGGCTAACAACATGGCTAACTTCAACCTCCTTGATGAAATTTGATTATGTTACATTGGTACAATGTTAATGTGTGTTGACATGTATGGACCAGGAAAGTTATAATTGAAACTTATTTTTGGTCAAAGAGCTAAAGCACATAGAGTATAGGTGTCTTAAATAATTAAAACAAGTGTGCTTACCAATCTGCCAAATGGTGATTAACTACAGCATAAACTATATTAATAACTTCTGATGAGAACAGTGAGTGACAGAAGCACTGCCAGTCTACACTGCTGTAGACACCACTTTCATTTGATTAAAAATTCTATTTTTCCTTTTCCAGTGGTTTGATAGAGATGTTGTAGATTATTTGAATGTAATCTGTGGCAGAGAAGATAATTGAATTATATATTCAATATAAAATTTGTCATTAAAGTAAGTAATATTGTTCTTTCAGTAATTACATAACGTTATGGCATCAGTCATGCTGTCTTACCTACAGTGTTCAATTTGTAATTTCCTTCCCAAACTTTTTTTTTTTTTTCACTGGATGCAGTAAAAATTTTTTTTTTTTTTACAATTTGTATCATCAGCATTTTATGATGAGTTGTAGCTCCACATAAATTTTGGATAAAATAATCCAGTATTTACTATCAACTATTGTCTATTTCTGTTAATCACGCTCACACACTCACACACTATCTCTTTTTCTTTCTTTCTTTTGCATTTTATCCTGCTCCTTGTCAGTACCCTGCAGCAGGAACAAGTTGAGAATTTTGACTGATTTGGCAATTGCCATTTGGTTTTTTTTGTTTTATTTTTTTTTTGGGAAAAACTTTCCGGGGTTTATAAAAGTTGGGTTTTAAACATTAACTAGCAAACTTTTTAGATTCTTGCATAAAAGGTTTTTGAAAATGAAATAGGTCAAACATTAACTTGTTTAAATTTGGGTTAAAAATTAGGGCCAGCCCCGGGCCTTTATGACTTTTAATCTTTTGTCCAGGGTATGAGGACATTTGTTTTTACTTTCCATTGTCCAGGCCCCTGTTAATGTTGAATTAATAAGTGCCATTGGTAGTTGTATATGACTGGTATACCTGCTTTGTCTTTGTTTATTTTTGGTTTTCCATTTTAAAACTTTATGTACGGTATGAAATTTGATAATTTATGATGATTGATTCATTTGTCCAAAGGGTTTTTGATAACGTGTGGTACGAATTGCCAGGTTGTATTGATGTGGATTACCTGCATTGCCAGGCTCTGTATGATGACTGGATACCTGTCCATTGCCAGGCTCTTATGATGACTTTTGGATACTGCCATTTCCGGGCTCTGTATGATGACTTTTGGGGATACTTCCATTTTCCAGGCTCTGTTTTGATGAATTTCGGGCAACTTGCCATTGTCAGGCTCTGTATGATGACTTGGATACCTGCATTGCAGGCTCTGTTATGATGATTTGGATACCTGTTTTTCCCCCAGGCTCTGTATGATGACTGGGATACCTGCATTGTCACCTCTGTATGATGGCTGTGATACCTGCCATGCCAGGCTCTATATGATGATTTGGATACCTGCCATTGTCCGCTCTGTATGATGACTATGGATACCTGTCATTGCAGGCTCTGTATATGACTATTCCTGCCATTGCCCAGCTTTATGATGATGTGGATACCTGCCATTCCCAGCTCTGTATGATGCTGTGGATCCCTTTTCCATTTTCAGGTCTGTATGATGATGGGGATACCTGCCATTGTCCACTCTGTATGATGACTTGGATACCTGCATTCCCACCTCTGTATAATGACTTGGATACCTGCTTTGCCCGGGCTCTGTATGATGGACTGGGATACCTGCATTTTCACTCTTTTAAAATGACTGTGGATCCCTGCATTGCCAGCTCTGTATGATGATTTGGAAAACCCTGCCATTTTTATTTTTCTTACCTCTGTATAATGATTTATCCTCCCAAATTGCCCCCTCTGTATGATGATTGTGGATACCTGCATTGTCGGGCTCTGTATAATGCTATTCCTGCCATTGCAGTCTGTTGATGATTGTGGATACCTGCCATTGCCCACTCTGTATGATGTTGTGGATACCGGCCTTTTTCACCTCTGTATAATGCTGTGGATACTGCCATTGTCCAGCTCTGTTATGATGACTTGGATACCTGTCATTTTCACCTCTGTATAATGACTTGATCCTGCCATTGACCAGCTCTGTATGATGACTGTGGATACCTGCCATTATTCACCTCTGTATAATGACTGTGGATACCTGCCATTGTCCACCTCTGTATGATGACTGTGGATACCTGCCATTATTCACCTCTGTATAATGACTGTGGATACCTGCCATTGTCCAGCTCTGTATGATGCTGTGGATACCTGCCATTGTTCAGTTCTGTATGATTGTGGATACCTGGCATTGCCCAGCTCTGTATGATGACTGTGAATACCTCCCAAATTGTCCAGGATTTTGTATGATTGACTGTGGTTCCTGTCATTGCTCAGCTCTGTATGATGTCTGTGGATCCCTTGCCATTGCCCAGCTCGGGTATGATGAATGTGGATACCTGCATTGCCCAGCTCTGTATGATGACTGTGGAAAACCTGCCATTTGTTCCCCTCTGTATGATGACTGTGGATCTGCCCATTGTCCAGGTTCTGTATGATGACTGTGGATACCTGTCATTGTCCAAGCTCTGTATGATGACTGTGGATACCTGTCATTGTCCAAGCACTGCATGATGACTGTGGATACCTGTCTTTGTCCAAGCTCTGCATGATGACTGTGAATACCTGTCATTGTCCAAGCTCTGTATGATGACTGTGGATACCTGTCAATGTCCAAGCTCTGTATGATGACTGTGGATACCTGTCATTGTCCAAGCTCTGTATGATGACTGGATACCTGCCATTGTCCAAGCTCTGTATGATGACTGTGGATACCTGCCATTGCCCAGGCTCTATATGATGACTGTGGATACCTGTCTTTGTCCAGCAATGTATGATGAGTGTCTATACCTGTCATTGCCCAGGCTTTGTATGATTACTCTGTGGATACCTGTATTTGCCCAGGCTCTGTATGATGGCTCTGTGGATACCTGTCTTTGCCCAGGCTCTGTATGATGACTGGATACATGCCATTGTCCAGCTCTGTATGATGGCTGTGGATACCTGCCATTGTCCAGCTCTGTATGATGTCTGTGGATACCTGCCGTTGCCCAGCTCTGTATGATGTATGTGGATACCTGCCATTGTTCAGCTCTGTATGATGACTGTGAATACCTGCCATTGTTCAGCTCTGTATGATGACTGTGGATACCTGGCATTGTCAAGCTCTGTATGATGACTCTGTGGATACCTGCCATTGTTCAGCTCCATGATGACTGTGAATACCTGCCATTGTTCAGCTCTGTATGATGACTGTGAATACCTGCCATTGTTCAGCTCTGTATGATGACTGTGGATACCTGCCATTGTCCAGCTCTGTATGATGACTGTGGATACCTGTCATTGTCCAGGCTCTGTATGATGACTGTGGTATACCAGCCCCAAATATGTCCATGCCAGCTCTGCATGATGACTGTGGATACCTGTCATTGTCCAAGCTCTGTATGATGACTGTGAATACCTGTCATTGTCCAAGCTCTGTATGATGGTTGTGGATACCTGTCATTGTCCAAGCTCTGTATGATGACTGGATACCTGCCATTGTCCAAGCTCTGTATGATAACTGTGGATACCTGACATTGTCCAGCTCTGTATGATGACTGTGGATACCTGGCATTGTCCAGCTCTGTATGATGACTCTGTGGATACCTGCCATTGTTCACATCTGTATGATGACTGTGGATACCTGTCATTGTCCAGGCTCTGTATGATGACTGTGGATCCCTGTCATTGTCCAGGCCATCTGTATGATGACTGTGGATACCTGTCATTGTCCAGGCTCTGTATGATGACTGTGGATACCTGCCATTGTCCAGCTCTGTATGATGACTGTGGATACCTGCCATTATTCACCTCTGTATAATGACTGTGGATACCTGCCATTGTCCAGCTCTGTATGATGACTGTGGATACCTGCCATTATTCACCTCTGTATAATGACTGTGGATACCTGCCATTGTCCACCTCTGTATGATGACTGTGGATACCTGCCATTATTCACCTCTGTATAATGACTGTGGATACCTGCCATTGTCCAGCTCTGTATGATGACTGTGGATACCTGCCATTGTTCAGTTCTGTATGATTGTGGATACCTGGCATTGTCCAGCTCTGTATGATGACTGTGAATACCTACCATTGTCCAGGATTTTGTATGATGACTGTGGATTCCTGTCATTGCTCAGCTCTGTATGATGTCTGTGGATACCTGCCATTGCCCAGCTCTGTATGATGACTGTGGATACCTGCATTGCCCAGCTCTGTATGATGACTGTGGATACCTGCCATTGTTCACCTCTGTATGATGACTGTGGATACCTGCCATTGTCCAGGTTCTGTATGATGACTGTGGATACCTGTCATTGTCCAAGCTCTGTATGATGACTGTGGATACCTGTCATTGTCCAAGCACTGCATGATGACTGTGGATACCTGTCTTTGTCCAAGCTCTGCATGATGACTGTGAATACCTGTCATTGTCCAAGCTCTGTATGATGACTGTGGATACCTGTCAATGTCCAAGCTCTGTATGATGACTGTGGATACCTGTCATTGTCCAAGCTCTGTATGATGACTGGATACCTGCCATTGTCCAAGCTCTGTATGATGACTGTGGATACCTGCCATTGCCCAGGCTCTATATGATGACTGTGGATACCTGTCTTTGTCCAGCAATGTATGATGAGTGTCTATACCTGTCATTGCCCAGGCTCTGTATGATTACTCTGTGGATACCTGTATTTGCCCAGGCTCTGTATGATTCTGTGGATACCTGTCCATTGCTCCAGGTCTGTATGATGACTGGATACATGCATTGTCCAGCTCTGTATGATGGCTGTGGATACCTGCCATTGTCCAGCTCTGTATGATGACTGTGGATACCTGCCATTGCCCAGCTCTGTATGATGTATGTGGATACCTGCCATTGTTCAGCTCTGTATGATGACTGTGAATACCTGCCATTGTTCAGCTCTGTATGATGACTGTGGATACCTGGCATTGTCAAGCTCTGTATGATGACTCTGTGGATACCTGCCATTGTTCAGCTCCATGATGACTGTGAATACCTGCCATTGTTCAGCTCTGTATGATGACTGTGAATACCTGCCATTGTTCAGCTTGTATGATGAGTGGATACCTGCCATTGTCCAGCTCTGTTGATGACTGTGGTTTACCTGTCATTGTCCAGGCTCTGTATGAGGGACTGTGGATACCTGTCTTTTGCCCAAAGCTCTGCATGATGACTGTGGATACCTGTCATTGTCCAAGCTCTGTATGATGACTGTGAATACCTGTCATTGTCCAAGCTCTGTATGATGGTTGTGGATACCTGTCATTGTCCAAGCTCTGTATGATGACTGGATACCTGCCATTGTCCAAGCTCTGTATGATAACTGTGGATACCTGACATTGTCCAGCTCTGTATGATGACTGTGGATACCTGGCATTGTCCAGCTCTGTATGATGACTCTGTGGATACCTGCCATTGTTCACATCTGTATGATGACTGTGGATACCTGTCATTGTCCAGGCTCTGTATGATGACTGTGGATACGTGTCATTGTCCAGGCTCTGTATGATGACTGTGGATACCTGTCATTGTCCA